GAAGCTTAGGCAATCTATTTCCATAGTGATACTACCTCGGAAACCTAAAGAAGGGTCGCTATGAGTCGGATCCGACTCAACAGCTGTGGGTTTTACTTTGGGTACTGTAGGTTTCTTTTGTTGCTCTTTTTCTAATTGTTGGAGTTGTTGAGTTAGAATGTTGATTCTTTCTTCTTTTTGGATGTATCCATTTATTGCTTTAAATTTACCTCTGAGTGCTGTTTTCACTGTGTCCCATAGGCTTTGATAAGTTGTATGTTCATTCTCATTTGTTTACAGTAATTTTTAAATTTAACCTTTGATTTCTTCTGTTATGCAGTAGTTTTTGAGCAGTGTATTATTCAGTTTCCATGTATTCCATTTTTTCCCTTGGTCTTCCTAGGTCTAATTTTATATCGTTGTGATCTGAGAAGATGCTTTGTGAAGTATTTCAGTGTTTTTGAGTTTATTGAGGCTTTTTTTATGTCCTAATATATGATCTATTCTGGAGAATTATCCATGTGCATTGGAGAAGAATGTGAATTGTGCTTTTGTTGAGTGGAGTGCTCTGTATATGTCTGTGATTTCAAGTTGGTTGATTACGTTGTTGTGTTCTTCTGTATTTTTATTGAGTTTTTTTTTTTTTTTCCAGTTGTTCTGTCCCTTCGTGAAAGTGGTGTGTTAAAGTCTCCTACTATTATTGTTGAGTTGTGTATTTTTCCTTTCAATTCAGCTAATATTTGGTCAGTTGATCCTTTTAGCATCATATAGTTAATGTCCTTTGTCCCTTATGCTATTTTTCACCTTGAAGTCTATTTTATCGAAAATTAATATGGTCACTCCTGCTCTTTATTGTTGCCATTAGCTTGGTATATTTTTTTCCACTCTTTAATTTTTAGTTTATTTTTATCTTTGTGTCTAAGGTGGGTCTCTTGTGTAATATTGATGGGTCTTCTTTTCTTATACAATCTGTGTGGTGGTTATGTTTGTACGTCTACTTGGCTTGGCCTGGTTGAGAGGCTGGACAGCTGGTGGTAGTTATTCCCCATGATGAGACTAGCAATCAACTCCATGGTGGGATCTACCATAAGCAACTGAGTAGCTGCTTTTGGTATGTGGCCTGTTCCCCGTATATAAGAAGCAGCTTTGAGAATGGTTTCAAGCCTATGGCATGCTTGGACCCTGCAGGTAGCCCTGTCGTTGTTCAGCAGCCTGCCATGCTCTGCCGACTGTGGGACTTAAAATGGATTTGAATGAATGGGCCTGCCATGTGGTTTGGTAACAAGTTTGTGGTTTGCTAACATCGGGACTGTGCCTTTTTATTTGTCAACTTTGGAGCTTCTCATCCTCAGCAGCCAGCAGCTGTCTGAGTAAAGAAACACCTCTGGCTCCAGTGGGCCAGGAACAGGACACAGAGCTGGACCCCAAGGTGGAGGGGCTTTCACCCAGCCCCAAGAGCCTAGCACTTTGAACTTGGACTTAAAGCCTCCAAATTGTAAGAATAAACTCCTGTTTGTTAAGGCCATCCCATTTGTAGTATATTCCTGTCAGAGCAGCACCAGGTAACCAGAACAATCTTCCACACTCTTTCTCTTGACTGGTGCATTTAGTCCATTCATATCCAGTCTAATTATTGAGAGATATGAATTTATTTTTGTCATTCTGTTGTGTTTTTTGTTGTGTTGTTGGTGAATTCCTTGTTCCAATTATTTTTCCGTGCTGAGTTCATTGTATTATTTATTATTTTTTATTCATTATTGTTGTTTTTGTGCTTACTAAGTCCTTCTGTTTTTCTTTTTTCTGAGTTTGCTTAGATGGATTGTTAATTATGTTTGTGGTTACCCTGAAGTATATTCTCATCTCCCTAATTTTGGAACAAGTCTGTTCTATAAAGACATAGTCCTATTTTACTCTCCATTTGGAAGTTTTGTAATTAAAACTTTTGTTCCCTCTGTGTGCTTTGTTGCTGGTGCCATCAGCAAATTGACTCCTTTATTTTTCTATGTATATTTCTTATTACCTTATTTTGAGAATCTTTTTCTGGTTTGGTTTCTAGATGGTGGTGTAAAGTATCTTGATTTTAATTTGTTGTTCTCTGTTGTGGGTTTTCTATTGGAACAAATCCTTTTATCATTTCCTGTAGGGCTGATCTGGTTTTCATAAATTCCTTTAACTTCTGTTTCTCTTGATTTCACTCTCATATTTGAGGGACAATTTGGCTGGATATATAACTCTTGTTTGGAAGTTCTTTTCCTATATGCCATCTCACTGCATTCTTGCCTTTACAGTTTCTGCTGAGAAATCAGAGCTTAGTCTTATGGGTTGTCCATTGTAGCTGACATTTTGTTTCTTTCTGGGCTGCTCACAAGATTCTTTCTTTGTCTTTGGTTTTGCAGAGTTTGATTATGATATGTCTTGGTGACTTTCTTTTGGGATCTATCCTGAATGGGGTTTGTTGAGCTTCTTGGGCAGATATCTTTTCTTCCTTCACAATGTGGGGAAATTTTTTGTTAGCACACAATTTTCCACAGTTTTCTCAGGTTTTTGTTTTTTTTTTCTTGCCTCCTCTTATTCTCATACCAATGTGGTATATGTTGTTTCTTTCATGTCATCCCATATAACTCTTAGGTTCTCTTCGTTTCTCTTAAATCTTTGTTCTGGTTTCTCTTCATACAAACTGACATCAAGGGACTTGTCTTCTAGTTGGAAAATGCATTCTTCGGCCAGTTCTAGTCTATTCTTTTGTCCTTTCACTGTGTTGTTTAGCTCTGTAATTTTAGTGTTCATGTTCTGGATTTCTAATTGTCGTTTTTATATGAGTTCTAATTGTGTATCTTGTTATTTTGTTCTTAATTGGTTTTCCTGCATTATTCCAGTGTACTGTATGTCTGCTTGTTGATTCTGTTTGTGGTTTCCATGAGCTCTTGGAGTGTCTTACATACATACCTTCTGAATTCCTTCTCAGATAGTTCTATTGCTTTTTCTTCTTCCATGATAGATAATCCTTTAGCCTAGGCTTTTATTTCTATTGTCTTGACTTTTTTTTTTTTTTTTTTTTGGTTTTTGGTTATCTGTTGTTTCCTAGACATTTAGAAATTGTTGTCTTTAATTGTTAGCTATGTTTTGATTTGTTTTACCCTGATTTTATGTTTTGCTGTGTCTGGGAGTGTGCAGCAAGTGTATTTCTTATGTTATTAATTCATCTGTGCTGAGTCTCTCTCCAGCTCTCTCTGTGTTGGTGTAATCACTGCTGGGGATGTGGGTGCAGGTCTCTGTTCATTGTGAATACACTTTGGTGTTAGGACCAACAGGTGTTGTCTACCATCTGTAGTAGCTATAGTTGCCTAGTGGAGGTTTAATGTTTCTCCTGTTGCATGAGGCAAGGAGAAAAGCAAAAAGAGAAAACAAAACAAAAACCCAAAAAAGCCAGAGGGGAACCCCAGGATAGTAAAGCCAAAGGGGTTTTCCACTTGTGATGAGAAAATTCAGTCAGCAGTAAGGCGTGGGCAGGGCAGCTTGGGTCCTTTTGGGGATATCTGCTGAGGATGGTGCCCAGCTGTTTCAAATCCAGAAGCAGTCCCAAAGGCAAGAGTTTTACCCCTCTCTGGGTGGACCAACCAGATGCAAAAAGACAGTTACAGATTCAATCCACACCACAAAGGATTATGAGGAGATGGGCCTAAATCCACTGCCTTGCACCCGCTCCAGGGCTCTGCCAACTCGGAGGGCATTTCTCCTCCCTTTTTCCCACTGTGCTGTGGACTTTGCAGCAGCCCAAGCCACAGGACATCCCTGTAAGATCTTAGCTTCCCCTCAAAGTCCTAGCTTACCTCATAAAATTCCTGGTGAGGCTATCCTGAGTCCCCAGCACCTGTGTGTTCCATGGTATTTTTTTGTTGTTGTTTTTCCTTCCTCTTTCTTCTCTACTTTCCCTCCTCTTTGAGGTCTTTTGTCTCTGTCTTCAGCAGCTGGGCGGGCCTGCGTTTCTTTCCCAGTCATTTAGCCTGCTCTCTTTCTTTGCCTTTGCTGAATCTAATACTGTATCTTTTCCTTAGCTGCTTGTAACTCCAGTATCTTTATTGTATCTGTTTTACCTATTTGTTCTGGGCTTCAGATGAAAGAAGGAGTGTAGTATCTGTACAACACCATCTTCCAACCCTTTGGCTGTACTCTTTATAGAAGCAGATTACAGCCAAGAAAACTCTATGGAGTACTTCTCCTCTGTAGACACATGAGGCTGCCATAAGTTAGAATTAGCTCAATGGCAGCAAGTTTTGTTTTGTTATTAACTCAAGTCCATAGTTCACATTAGAGTTCACTCTTTGTGTTTCTTATGTATTTTGACAAAGGCTTGTCGTGTGTCCAAGATTACAGTTTCATGCAGAACAGTTTCACTGCACTTAAAATACTCTGCTTGTTCATCCATCTGTCTCTCCCTGAACCCCTGGCAATCACTGACCTTTTTACTACAGTTTTGCCTTTTGTCCTATAATTGAAATCATGTATTATGTACCTTTTTCAGACTGGTTTCTTTTACTTAATATGCATTTAAGCTTCTTCCATATCTTTTCATTGTTTCATAGGTCATTTATTTTTACTGCTGAACAATAAACTCATTGTATAGATGCACCACAGTTTGTTTATCTGTTCACCTATTGAAGAACATCTTGGTTGCTTGCAATTTCTGGAAATTATATATAAAGTTATAAGCATTTATGTCTAGGTTTTTAAGTAGACATACATTTTTAACTCTTTTGGGTAAATACCCAGGAGCACAATTACTGTCATATGGTAAACCTATATTTAACTTTGTAAGAAACTGCCAGACTGTCTGATTTCTACATAAAGTATCACACCCTCTGGCTCCTGATAAAGGACTTTTTATCATCCAATGTACAGAATGAGGCTCACAGCTAGTTGCTTTCAGACTTGTACATTGTAGCCAAATGCCCTTTTAAATGTGACTTGAAGTGATTTTTTTGTGAACATAAATTACTGATTTCTAATCTTCTTTTGTGCAGGAAGAACATGAAAAACAGCTTAAGGCCATAGAAGAGTGGGTGAAGGAGGTGGAAATGATATTGAAGAATACAGAAATGCTCCTACAAGAAAAAGTAGATGAGCTGAAGGACCAGGTGAGTGATGGGTTCCTGTTATTTCCACACACATATCTTTTTTGCACATTTCTCCCTTGTGGGTTTCTTACAGAGTTTGTGTAGGACGAGCCAGTCTTGTTACAGTCTCAGGGACCTCATGCTTATTAGGAACTACTAACTTGGAGCTCTGTCTAAACTCATATTTGAATGCAAAGTGTTTTTTCACAGGGTTCATAATTAAAAAGAATCAATAGAAAGCTGATTTGATTAAATGTATACCCTGCACTTTATTTGTGTATTACACTTATTTTCTTTTGAAAATTGCTTTATGATTCTTTGTGAGGTGTTCACATAATCTAAGGGAAGCTACTGAGAAGTTCCTGAGTGTCAAGGCATTGTTTTAGGTAGACCTGAGATGGAACTTAGCTGATAATAAGACTGTCCAAGTGTACACTCTCCTGTACTGGAGAGTCAGTTGATAGGGGAAGCCACTCTTCAGAGACTGAATGATGATCCAGCATGTATCCCTCAGCAGAGGGCAGGTTGACATTTGGGGAAGGACATTGCTCATTTGTGAACTGTCCAGTACCTTGTAGGACACTTGGCACCATTGTCCACCAGGGGCTAAATACCAGTAGCATCCCTTAATCACTGGAGAGCCACAAAAGGGCACTCATACATTTATACCTCCCTGCTTATAGCTATGGGTAAGCAGTCTATGCCCCTGGAAAAGATGCCCCTCTGCTGAGCACCAGACACTGTGCCTGTAACAGCTCTGCTCCTACTCCTTCTCCTCAATTTCCCCCTCATTCTCCTGTCTTCCCCTTCTCTACTCCGTTGTATCTCCCTCTCACTTGGAGCCCTTCCTGCCATCAATATGCACACCTGTGCTTCTGTTCCCGACCTTGAAGAACTCCATCTCTCTGGCCTGGCTACCCCATATTCTGCTCCTCTTTTCATAAATGCCCTTCAAAGGTTGTCTGTGCTCATGACCTCCTCCTCCTTCCCTTCTATTGTCTTCTAAGTGGCTCAGTCACTGTTTCTCTTCTCTCACTGAGTCTACACCTAATCTAGCAGTTTGGCCTTCAAAATGGATATAGATTCCAAATACTCACATCCCCTACTGTTCCCATTTTGGTCGAAGCCCCCTCCTCTTTTGTAATCTCTCTGATTTCTCTGTTTGCACTGTCACATTCCTGCCGTGATCTATGCTAAGCATAGGAGCTGTAGCACTCTTTCCAAAGCACAACTGAGATCCTTTCCATCCTCAGTTTAGATCCTTCGGTGTCTTTCCATCTCCCTCAGTGTAAAATGCCAACCTTGTCACGGTGCCCTCCAAGGTTCTGCTGGATTTAGTGCCTGTCTCTGCTGACTTTGTCTTTATCTGTGTTTCCCCATGACTGTACCTTTCCAGCCACAGTGGCCACCTGCTGCTACCCAGTCACCCCAGGCACATACCAACCTCAAGGCCTTTGCATTTTCTCATCCTGTTACCTGGGTTGTTCACATCAGTAGCCTCTTGCTCTATTTAGAGATCTCTTCACATACCACCCTACAGAGAAGACCCCTTAATTCCTGTGTTAGTCTGAGTTCTCTGGAGAAGCAAAACCAGTGAAACATATATAAATATATAGAAAGAGAGATTTATTTCAGGATAGTTGCTCACATAGTTGTGGAGGCTGGCAAGTTCCAAATCAGTGGGTCTGGTGACAGGCTGGGGACCTCTACTAGCTCACAGGGTAGTGGGGTCAATGAATTCAGGATCTTCAGGTTAGACAGCAAGCTGAAGATTTCTGCAGGTTTATGTCCCAAGAACTGGAAATCAGGCAATGAGAAGAGTACAAGGTTGAGAGAGAGAGTGAGTTTTTCCAAAACATCCATTTATGTACTAGAAGCAGGTCACAACCCCAAGGCAACTCTCCCTTTCAACTAATTCATTGGTCACAACAGATCACAAAATGATACGTGATGTATGGAAGACCACTTACCAATCCACTGAGAATCATAGCCTAGCCAAGCTGACACATAATATTAACCATTACTGTCCATCCCTTGTCAGGTTGGCACCTGTGCACAGCTCCTTAAACCATATATAATCTCCAAAAAAGACAATTATAAAGTCATTCTTGTGCCTAACATGATAAAATGAACATGCGTATGACTGAATGTACTAGCACCTTTTACATCTTGTATTTTATGATAAGCAATGGGATAAGGAAGAGAAGAAAAGAAAGAAATTTCATACACACATATAATAAAACAAGGAAAAAATGCTCATAACAATTACATTCCTCATTTCTGCAACTAGTCACATTGTCATAGCTGGTATTTAGAACTACACATTCTTTAACTACCCATTCTATCTTCCCTTTTCACTCAGCAAGCATGTCAGCTGGTCTTGGTGTTTTACCTTGTGGGGTGACCCAAACCTTCATTCCTGAAGAGTATGGGCCATTAGTAATCATGTCAGAATTGGGTTGCTGTAGTTTTCCATTGACTTTAATCACAGGGCATAGTAGTACTCAGAGACACCGTAGGAGAACTCCTGTATTCCAGACATAGTTTTGTCTGCCTCCATTAGATAATAAGAATCCAATTTCTAGTTAATAATCAAGGTCAGTCACACCAGCCACTATGGTAACTCCTTTCATTGCCTGTTGATCAAAAGGCAAGAGCAACCCGAAATCTCCAGGTGGCATTCTTAACTTCTGGTTCATTGGAACAGTGTTGTCTCCTGGTGGGAGCATTCCTTCCTTTGGAACTAAGACCTCTAGACCAACAGAGCAGAGGGTTGTTAAGAAAGGAAACAAAAACTTTGCAAGTGGGGACTAGGAGTGTTTTGGTTAGCTAGCGCTGCTCTAACAGAAGATAATCAAGTGGGATGGTTTTAACAAAGAAAAGTTTATTCTCTTACAGTTTTGAAGGCTAGAAGTCCAAGTTCAAAGTGCCAGGCTCCCGGGACTGGGTGAAAGCCCCTGGATCTTGGGCTTCAACTCTGCCTCTTGCTCCTGACCTACTGAAGCTGGAGGCTTTTCCTCACTTAGGCAGCTGCTGGCTGCTGAGAATGACAAACCCATGGTCGACAAGTAAAAAGGCAGAGTCCCGATATTACCAAACCACACAGCAGGCCATTGATTCATGTTCCATTAACAGTCTCAAGATTAGCAGACAACATGGCAGGCTGCTGAATAACAACTTGGCTACATGCAGGATTCAAGCATGCTAAAGCTAAAGACCTTCTTCAAAGTAGTTTCCCACATTCCTAAAGCAGCTACTCAGTTGCTCCAGTAGGTTCTACCATGGAATTGATTACCAGTCTCACCATAGGGAATAATTGCATCCAGCTGCCCAGCCACTCTAAACCAGGCCCAGCCAAAATGACACAAAACCTTAACTACCACAAGGGGGTAATAGTGATTCCAACCCTCATTTCTACCTCTTGGTTCCTGGACATGCAAATTCTGGTTATGGGAGAAACAGCACCATATATTGGATATTGGTTTAGACCATAGGTAGTCTCCTAGAGAGCATTGCCTCAGCACTGCAAGATATCACCTCCTTTATAGCTGGTACTATAATTGAGTTTTTGTTTTTTTTTTTTAACTTTTTATTGTGATTTGGGTAGAATTTTACAAAGCAGATTCATTTTACATTCAACAGTTCACACATATTTTGTTTCACGACGCTGACTATAATCCTCACAATGTAACAGCTCTCCTCTTACCTCCCCCCTGTGGTTACCCCTTCCCTATATCCTCACTTATGCATTCCTGCCTGTCTACATAATTGAGTTTTTAAAAGCCATTCCATCATTCTGTCAAACCAGTTGCTTCAGGATGATGGGGAACATGGTAAGATCAGTGAATTCCATCAGCATGGACCCATTGCTGTACTTTGTTTGCTGTACTATGAGTTTCTTGATCCATAGCAATGCTGTGTATGTTACCATGATGGTGGATAAGGCATTCTGTAAGTCCACCATTAGTAGTTTTTGCAGAAGCATTGTGTGCAAGTCAGATAAATCCATGTCCAGAGTAAGCATCCCTTCCTGTAAGAAAAAAACACTGCCCTTTCCATGATGGAAGTGGTCCAGTGTAATCAACTTACCATAGTGTTGCCGGCTGATCATTCCTAGGAGTGAAACCATACTGGGGACTCTATGTTGATCTCTGCTACTGGCAAATTGGGTACTCAGCTGGTTCTGTAGCCAAGTTGACCTTGGTGAGCAGAAGTCCATGTTGCCAAACCCATGCATAATCTCCACCCCTGCCACCATGACCTTTGTTCATGAGCCCATTTGGCAATCACAGGAGTTCTGGGGAAAAGAGGCTGACTAATATCCACAGGAAGCATCATTCTATCCACTTGATTTTTCACTGCCTCCTCTGCTAAAGTCACACTTTGGTGAGCATTCTCATGAAACACAAATATCTTTCCTTCTAGCCCCATTCAGAAAGGTCTGTTCATATACCTCTTCCCCATACCTCCTTGTCACTAATTTTCTAATCATGTTTCATAACTTTCCAACCAAAGCATCGACCACAGGCCATGAATTGGCAATTGGTCACACCTGGCAATTTCATCTTCCAAGAAAAATGAACAACCAGGTGCACTGTTCAAAGTCCTGGCCATTGAGAGAATTTTCCTTCACCTCTGTCCTTCAGGAAAGTACTGGAAGGGAGCTGCAGTGTTTTAGTTGTCCACTTTCAAGTGGTGCCTAATATTGCACACAACTGTCTGTAAACCAGGCATGAGTTTTCTCTTCCTCAGTCAACTTATAGTAAAGAATTCCCTATAAGGGCATAGACAGGAGTGGAGACCATGGGCATTTGGGCCACAACCTCTTGTAACTTACTTGTGACTTAAGGGCCTGCTTGAGACCAATCTCATATATATACCACTTCCATTTGATGATAAAGTGCTGCTTGACGTATTCACCTTTATCACTCTGTTGGTCAAACAATATCCAGTTCGTGATGGGTAGCTCAGGCTGCATGGTAACTTGGTTCCCCGTGGTTAAGCAGTCAGTCTCTACTGAG